TAGATAAGTATTCATTGTAATTATTTTCAAGCTCTTCTTGTAGATGTGCTACTGATCGAACTTTAATTATTTCTTTTTTTTTTTTGGCATCAGTTGTGCCGAATTCGATGGAATTGTATATGTGTTCAAGAAGATCAGGGTGCTCAAAAAGAACTGACGGGTGGCCAGCATGATCATATATGACTACTTCATTTTTCTCTCTTACTCGCTTTTTTTTTCTCAATCTGCATTTTTGTTGATAGTCTGCATTTCGCTTAAGTTGTTCTAAATGTTTTTTTTTTTTTCAAGATCCTTTTTTAGATTATTAATACGAACATAAAGATCCTGACGAAGCTGAAAATTACTGATGGTATCATTTAGAGTAATAAACTCTACTAGCTTTTTTTCAACTTCTTTTATTTGATTAATTACTTCTTTCTGGGCAACGGCATTTGCACGAGAAGATTCATTTGATTCACTTAATTCTTGAAGCGGTAATTGGGCTATTGCCTGAGATATTACTTGGGGTGTTATATTCACATACAAATTATTATTAATTGATTGTGTTGAATGTTGTATGTATAGAATAGAAAATCCTTGCAGAGGAACTGATGTATTAAAAAATTCATTAATTATTCTTTGAATATTGGGATCTTTTTTATATTTTTTCCATTCATTATTTGCATCACGAAACAATATTTCACGATTATAATTGGGATTTTTAGTAAGAACCATTTGTCTATATGCAAAAGCATTGCAAAAATGATGGTATGTAGAGTTTGGTTCCTTATAGCAAAAGGTTTTATTAAATTTTGGGGTCGTAAGATAGGATTGCATCGTTTAAGTAATGTGTAAAAATCATCACTAAAAAAAAATATAAAAATAAATGGCAAATTTTTATATCTTTATATATGTGAAACAGCATGTGAGAATTTTGAATATAGGCAGCTTGCACACTTTTTTTATTGCTGCATTTTATGATCGTATATAGGATGATGCATATATACAATATGAAAGGGGCAATGATTGTTTCATCCAGAGACTTAATCGTGATTCAAATGAACTGCCAAATTTGATGAATCGACTCATGAACCATATGTATATATAGTTAAAACAAATGGCACTTGGTATAAGTATGTATCTTTATTTAAATTATCGCATATTTTAATTTTGATTTACAACTGTGTCATGTGACAGAAATCATATTGTTCGATTGGTGAATGAGCAATCTAGTAAGCCTTATTTTGATTGGTTAAAATTAGATATCTTATGTGGGGGGGAGGGGGGTCACCCTATTATTAAAATTATATTACGCAATATCTGCGAGTCCCCTAATCATAATAGATATATACAATAGTAATCTCTTTTGTTAAGTTATATCGATTAAGATATATATCAATAAGAGTGTAATAACTTAGTGAAGTAAATAAGTTGTTAACTTCCAAGTGGTAGGTTATAAGTTCAAAACCCACTAATAATAAAAATTTGGATAATTACCTATATAATATATAAACAGAATTATAGCAATAATATTCTATTGATCAGTTGAAATAAGATATCTATAACTATAGTCATACTAGCATGACTAGCAGGTTATAAGGCATCTGTATAACTCTGGTTATACAAATAAATGCAAACTAGTACCAAATAATGCAAACCTAAGATAAGTTCTTATGGCTGTGTAAATCTATGAACTGGAAAACTGAAACATATTTGGAAAGACTTGAGTAGAGAGATAATTCTGTAAAGACTAGACTTAGAAAATGAAAACCAATGTGGAGAAGTCAAATAGACAAAAACTTTAGATAAGAGATACTACCAACTAGGTCACCAAAACAGAACTGAAAAAAAAAAATATCAGACTAGCTCAATATACCAAGAACAGATTACAGTCCTTCTGAGGTATAGGAGTCTAAGAACAAAACAAAAGTATACTATAAGTACTAAAGATATGCTATGAAGTAGGTGCTGAGATCTAGGTAAACTCTACAAGAAATAGCTTTGTTAATATTTTGTAAAATGAGTATGTAGTTAACAAGAAAATATTTCAGAACCTTACAGTTAGGTAACATACTCTGAAATGTGTAATGGCTTAACAAATATACAAAAAAAGAAGACTAAATATTAGGTTAGATAGCACTTAGATGTACAAAAACTAGGTGCTACTTATCTAGATGCAGTATAAGGATCAGAGTGTTTAAATAGATACCCTTTTAGTAGGTTACAAGTATGGCAGCTAGTATAGAACTCTCAGGCAAACTATTTAAAATAGATAACTAAAAGTTACATATGTGACTAGTTGCATACTTACTTTGTACAAATCACATGTAATGCATTGATTAAAAACACAATAAAGACAGTAGCTACTAATAATATTAGTCTTGAACAAAAAAAAAAAAAAAAGATATTTATTAATATATAACTATTACAATAGAAAATTGATAAAAAATAATTTAATATAATATCAATATTTATCAAATATATTCAGTACTATTAACTTCATACCAATAACTATAATAATACTAACTTTTAACAAATTTTATAATAATTACAATTTATGTATATAACATTTATTTATTAAATATTATAGCAATAAGAAATAGATAATATATGCAATAAGCAATACATAATATATAAAATATTAAAAAAAATAATATATATAAAAAAATATATATAAAAAAATATATATAAAAAAATATTGAATTATAAATTGCAATTAAGCAACACTATACAATTTATCCAACTTATCTTTAAAAAGACTTATTAAAGAAATATTCTAATGAAAAGATTCAAAATTAAAATTATATTGAAAAAAACCCTTATTGTATCATTTATTATTATAAGCTTTACTTTCATCTTTACTTTGAAGAGCTTTAGCATTTTTATGTAATATATCACTACTTTCAATATCAATTTAATATAATATATTAGTATTAACATTATATGATATTAAAACTAAAATAAATTTCAATAACTTACCAAAAATTGTTCAATTTGATGTTTCATAAACTTCTTTATACATAAAATGTTTTATGACTAAAGGTTTAATAGAATATCATATACTGAAAGAGCAAATACACTATGCTCATTTGTCAAAACAAAAACTGCCACAGTAGAAAATACAGTTCATATGATTACTAATACCCAATAAATACCTTTGTTGTTTTGTTTGAAAAGCATATAATAATAATCATTTACTTGTAAGCTTTCTTTTTACTGAACAATATTGACTATAGCTGCATTACTCTTTAGAAAAAGCAATCTTTTATGCTCAAATATGCATCAAACCACAGACCTAATGTTTTGAAGTATCATATCATGATTATTCTTAATTTTTTGAAGGTGCTATAAAATAATAGTAACCAATTATTTAATATTACAAATATTATATACTTTAATTAAAAGATATGTTACCTAATAATATAGTTATTAATAAATGTATTAAAAAAATATAAACAATTACTAATGACTATAAGCAATGCATAATTAAAAAAAAAATTTACTTAAGTCAACTATTTATTATAAAAACAGTTAATAAATTTGTTTGGACTTATGTTAGATATGAAATTCAGAAATATTCCATCTATATAGGACTTAAAAGTCTTCTTGATTACAGTCTGAGTAGAGTAAATATGACTTGGGAAAAGGTGTTTTGTAACACCAGTATATGCATTTTATAAAAAATAAAAATTTAGAACATTTTCATTACAATCTTTATAAGTATCGAGTACTTATATCTAGAACCTTTTATAAAAGCTTATTTTTTATATCAACTCACTGCCTTTTTAATTCACTTTTAATTTCTTATACATTCTCATTTAACCTCTTTATTAAAAGGTATAGCTGCTGATTTTGAGTAAAAAGTCTTTCATCAACTTGTTAGCAAAATTGCTTACACATTCTTCAAATCTAGTATATTAAAAAAAAAAAAAAAAAATTTAAAAAAAAAAAAAATTTGTATACCATCATAATGCTCTTATAATTAAGAACTTTCTTATGATTTCTGTAGTGATAATGATCTATCTTGATCAATAGATCATGATTTATGACAAACAAACAAAAATGAGAATAAGAAGATAATGATTGTCATAAATAAGATGGCTGCCTTAATTGGATGACTTGTCTTAATTAGGCAGCTTGTCTTGATTGGACAGCTTGTTATGATGTAGTTCATTTATCTTTCATTTGCTCAAAGATTTTTCATACACTTTTAATACTTTTAGATAAATCTGAAGAATCACTATCATAATTTTGAGATTATTTATAAAATCCAGTTACTGATTTATAATGAGTTTTATTGATAGGAATAGCAAATAATAAAGATTGTAAACAGGTGTTGATAAAAATAGCAGAAGAAAATGATGATTGTAAACAGATTGTATTGATAGAAATATTAGAAGAAGATAGATTGAAAGGATTATCAGTAGATAAATTATTATCAGAAAGTAGTAAGTTGATGGTGTTATCAGTAGATAAATTATTGTCAGAAGGGAGTAAATTATTATTAGTACTATTATTATCTATTTTAAAAATTTTTCAAAAATGTCTTTATCTTTCAAATGTGAAATAGTTATATTTATAAATCTATAAAATTAAGAAAAGATATAACTTAATCATTATATAGCAAAAAAAAAATAAAAAACTTTTTGTCAACATTTATGTAATAATAATTCTTATATCTAAAAAAGTTAATATATGTTGATGTTAATCATTTTATACAAAAAAAAAAGTGAAAGCATACTTATCTTATTTGTTATTTTGGTTATTGGCAAGTAATAATGATATATACAATTACACATATAATAATAATTAGTTGAGTTTTATTTTATTATTAATATCTCTTGCTGCGATTTGAATTTATAAATAATATATATGTAATATAATGCTACTTTTGCTTACATTACATAAACAATTATTATGCTTTGTTTTGATCAAAGAAAAAAGAATCACCTAAAATCAATATATATCGATTAAAATCATTAAATCTTCTAAATTATTGCTCATTGCTACATCTTTTATCTTCTTTTATTGCTATTTCTTACTTAGATTCTCATAATAAATATATTGCAAATTTATATTTCTTATATACTTTATTTTATTTTTACTTTTTCTTTCTTTCTATCTATTTCTTTATTTTTTTAAATCTAAGAAACAGAATCCTGTTCAGGTTCTAGTGTTCTGGCATTCTTCTTTTATTTCTATCTTTGTTATTTCACTATTTTTTATTATAATCACTATTTTTGCTCTTTCTTATATTCATTTATTATTATTTATTTATTTTTTTTCTTTATATTTATTCTTTAAGTTTTTTTTATTTTCTAAAATGCATTGGCATTGTAAGCATTGTAATCAAAAATTTTCAAAATCATTTACTCTAATTCAACATATATTTTAAAGTTACTTTTACTTCTCAGAAATATCAAATCAAGTCATTTTTCTAAATAATTAAAAAATAATATTTAGTAACTTCCAGAATATAATACTTCTGAATATGATTCTGATGAATTTATAATTTATAAGATAAATCATTTATTATTGTTATAAGTTATAATATATAATTAATAATATATATTATTTAAAATAAAAACATATTAGCATCATCTTATTTTAATATAAAAATAGAGCTTCTTTCAGCAAATGTAGAATGTAATGCTAATAACTATAAGAGAGCAAATGTATCCTTTTTGGTAGAATGTGATTCTGAAGACTATAAAAAAGCTTCATTTAATGATATT